TGGTACAGTATGGGACAATAACCTACAAACGTGTAACCACGATTTAAAAATGTGCAATACCAATGTTGGTAATGCTACTACGACTACATGGGAACAAAGCACAACATCGTATCCTACTGACAAACCAACTTCAAGTCCTACAACACAAACCAGCAAGCCTGAAGGTATGCAGCCTGCAACCACAACACAGGCTCAAAAACCTGGATACGAAACAACAACGGAAGGTACACAAACTACAACTTTAAGTACGACTGAATCTGTAACACAAACTCAAAAACCTGGATACGAAACAACAACGGAAGGCACAAAGCCTACCTCTGCTGGTACTACTGAATCTGGTAAAAACCCAGAAATTACCACAGCACAAACAACCACAGGAACTCCCCAAACAACTTCACAACCGATAGTACCTGCTAAACCAATTTCACAAAAAGATCCTTGTACAAAGGAAGGCTTTTTCGGAGATAGCGAAGACTGTCAAAAGTTTTACAGATGTGTTGATAACGGTAATGGAGGTTTCGAGAAATATAGTTTCAAATGTGGAAACAACACTGTTTGGGATGCTGATATTGAAGGCTGCAATCATCCCACTGCAGTGCAAGATCCACGCTGCCGTGTAGAAGGTACTACTACTAGTAATATAGAAGGTACAGCTGCTAGTAACATGGAAGGTACAACAACAACGAATAAATATCCTACAACTACCGACAAATATGATACTACAACCATTGAATCAAAGCCCACATCTACTACATCATACCCCACAACATTAATGGAAACAACAACTAGTAAATACGAAACTACGACTGACGGTAGTAGCAAACCTACAACAACAACAACTGAAAGTAGTTCTGTAGAAAATACGACAACAATGCAAAGCAGTACAACACCTGTGACAGTACCGAACTTACCACCAGGTACTACTTGTAATGATGAAGGTTTTATGGCCGATCCAAATAATTGTAGAAAGTTTTACCGCTGCGTTAGAAATGGCGATGGTACTTACTTCAGACATGAGTTCATGTGTGCTAAAGGTACAGGATGGAGTGAGGAGAAACAAACTTGTGATTATGCCGCAAATGTGGACAGATGTTATGGCCAAACAGAGGAACCAGAGATGACAACTATATCCAGTACCAGTGAGACAACAACTGAAAATATATCGACCACTACATTACCCAGCAGTACTCAATCTACTAAAGAACCTACAACAACAACTGAATCTAAAGATCCAACAACAACAACAGCAGCAACAACAACTGAATCTAAACCACCTACAACAACAACGGACGCAACAACAACAGAATCCAAACCACCCACAACAACAACAACCTATGTCGAGACCACTACGACTACACCAATGGAATCCACTACACCTGGAGATGCTAGCTCAACTTCAACGCAAGCTACTACTACTACAGAAATAATAAGCACAACTATGCAGTCTACTTCCACAACTCCGATACCAAATTTAACTCCTGGCACAGAATGTGAAGGAGAAGGCTTCATGGCAGATCCAAATAATTGCCGTAAATTTTATAGATGTGTACGCAATGGTGATAAATTAGATAAACATGAATTTATGTGCGGCAAAGGTACCGGTTGGAGTGAAGAAAAACAAACTTGCGATTACGCAGAAAATGTGGAGCGCTGTGCTGGTCAAACAGAGGCTCCAGAAACCAGCACAGTTATGGAAACAACCACAGTATATACAACTACAACAAGCAAACCAGAAACCACACAAATGCCTACATCACCACAAGAAACTAAACCTACAGAATCTACAACAGATATGCCAACAACACCTATAGAACAGACGAAACCAACAGATTCAACACAAAAACCGACAGAGCAACCAACTACTACAGAACAACAAACTAAACCCACTGATACGACTCCACAAACAACTACCACAGAAGAACAAACTAAACCTACCGAACCGATTACCACAACTACTGAACAACAAACCAAACCAACTGAAACGCCAACAAAACCAACAGAGACCACTGGAAAACCAACGGAAACACCTACTGCAACCGAGGAACAAACCAAACCTACTGAAACACCAACAAAACCAACAGATACCACTGGAAAACCAACGGAACCACCTACTACAACCGAAGAACAAACCAAACCCACTGAAACCACAACGAAGCCTACAGAAATCACGACAACGGATGTACCAGCAACTACCGTTGAAGCTACAACCACAAGTAAACCTGGTTACGAGCCTACTACCATGCCAACTGTACAGACTACAGATTACCCAACAACAACTGAAGGAACAGTGAGCACAACCATGGAACCAACGAATTTCACATGTACCAGTGAAGGTTTCTTCCCAGATCCAGAAGATTGTAATCGTTATTATCGTTGCGTTGACGCAAATCAAAATGGCAATTATCAAATTTACAGTTTCCGTTGCCCCGATGGCACAGTTTGGGATACTTCCGTCGATACATGCAACTACGCAGAACAAGTTTCTGGAAATTGTTCCTCAGGTCAAACAAAACCAACCTCCAAACCAGTTGACACAACCACATTAGAAAATACAACAGAGCAACCTGGTACAATGACAACCAATAAACCAGTGGACACAACTACAATGGAAACAAACACCGGCACAACTGAACCGACAACCGTGACAACGACAAGTAAACCCATTGATACCACAACTACAGCGATGGGAACTACAACAATGGAACCAAATACAGAAACGACAACTCAACAAAGTACAACTGAGAAGCCCACAGAAATGCCAACAAAACCAATTGATACCACAACTGCAATTGAACCCACAACGACAGAACCGAATAAAGACACAACGACACAGCAAGCTACAACTGATAAGCCCACAGAGATAGCAACATCCGAAACAACGACGACAGGAGAAGAAAATACAACAAATTCTACACCTGAAAGCAATGAAACTACGGAAATGCCAACCACACAACCACCGCAACCAATAACTAATACAAGTGCACCATGTCCTACAGCGAGCGAGGGACAAAATCTCTTCGTTTGCCCAACAGGCTTTAAACGTCATCCCAAGAACTGTGGTATGTTCTATCAGTGCACTGAGAAAGCTGACAGTAACGATTTAAGCATTGCTGTCTTCGAATGTCCTAATGGTACCGTGTTCTACGAGGAACGCTGTCAATGCGACAGACCCGACAGTAATGAACAGTGCCTGAATAAAGAAATGACACGCACATTATTCTATGACGATGAAGTACGGCGCTTGCATATGGTAAGTTAATCATAAATGAGTATTAAGCAAAATCTATCTTTTAATCATCTTCTACCAACATAGGTACAAGTCCGGTCTACTGAACCGCTATGTCCGGATGAAGGTCACTTTTCCTTAAACCACGATCACTGTGGACAATTATTTGTTAAATGTGCGTATTCAACACTAACAGGACGTATAGAAGGTCAAATACAACGTTGTCCTAAAGGATTTGCCTATTGGTCTGTGAGTCGTCGTTGTGAGCGCGCACAAAAGCTTTTAGACTGCCATCCCACCCAATACGATGTTGGAGACAGCATACCAGTGGAATGGGGAAATATTGGCAAAAGACGTAGAAACTTAAAAATTTAAATAATTTTATTTGGAATGTCAGAATTTTTAAATCTTATCAAAATAAGTTTTAGTTTTAAGAGTAGAAGTTTTAAGGATAACTTAAATATTGTATACGGCGCATAAAAGCATTAACGGATCAGAAATAATACTTCTAGTCTATATAGAGTTAACGTATACTTATGCGCAGTAAACGATTACAAGTATTTATTTATATATAATTTTTCGGTACTCGGTTATGTAGTACGAGGGATGAGGTGAAGGTATTTATTTATAATGTATTTATTTAAACTATTTTTAAAATTGCCAATATAACAAAGTAAGTCTGACTTAAATAATATAGTAATATAAAATATTGAAAATTAGTTATTTAAGAAATATTGAAAAAGTATTGAATTAATTCCATTTCACTTTAGAGATACTGAAGCAATAATTTTTATAAAAAATAAACATTTTTATTCACCGCTTTATAGCAAATATGATTATTTAGTTCGGAACTTATTTAGATAAAACTAAGTTTATATACAAAATTCTTATATTTATGTATATTTAAGCAAAATAAATCTTAAATTATTTTATAAATAAATTAATTTTTTTTAAAAGTAATATTGTCAATATTTAATTGCGTACTTAAGTATTATTGCTTTATTAATATAAATGTAATAAGGCTTTTGCTTATAACTGGTTGTACGAAAACGCAAGAACAATAGCAAATAAATAGCTCTCCGTACTCTTACAATGTAGTGCCAATCTATTAGATTCTAACTATATAGTCTATTACATTTCAGTAATGACCGTCATTTCGCTAGTAGTAACTCTACCTGTGGAAGTAGTAGAGCTTTGTAAAAAATTAACCTCTCAACATAACGCTGTATATGATGATACAGAGAGAGAGAGAATATTATATATCTCAGAAAGTCAGAACTAATTTGCTTATAATCAACTTCTTTCAATGCAGATTATTGTCACGATTTTAGTTACTTCTGTTTAACAATTATTACAACGTATAATCTTAATCTGCGTTTTTGTCTTTCTGTTTAAGATGGATGTGGATGGATTCACTGTTAAAAATAAAAAGATTAATATTAAATGTTTTTTAACATTAAAAATTGTTATACTTACAAAAAGGATAACGTAATCATAACTAATGCGAAACCACAACTTATTACTTTCGTGTATTTGGTACTGGTGCCGATGGATTAACACCTTTATAAAACTCTTTAAGCAAATCCATAGCTTCTGCAGCGCGTATGCCACCACGTATAGGTAAATTAGTGCCTACAACTTCTGCAACATTCACAACCGTTTTACCGCCAAAACGATCGTTAGCACAACCATATAAAATTTCTTTAACACCCAACGTATGCAATGCAGCTGAACACATGATGCAGGGTTCTACGGTGACAACCACAGATATCTGCTTGAAGACTTCACTATTATCCAATCCATTGCTTTTACAATATTCTAAAACTTGATCAATACATACGAACTCCGCATGGCGTGTAGCATTTTTTGTTGCATTAACATAATTTCTACTACGTGCTATAATTTCGTTATCCCAAACAAAAACACATCCAACCGGCACTTCGCCAACAGCTAATGCATGACGTGCCTCCATGAATGCTTCATCCATAAATGTTTCCATTATTATTATGCTCTTATGTATTTAATTGCACAACAAGAAATATATTTATTTCCATATATTATCAGTTACTTTTATAAAATCTTATTGGATTTGAAATGAATTTGTCGTCCCTACAGCTGGTTTTGTTTACATTTAAAAAGACAAGGCGTACAGTATATACAATTAACCGCTGCGCAAAAAGACTATCGCCGCTGGTTATTTAACAGGGTTGTTACATTTTATTATTTTATGTAAATAAATTATTTTCTTATAATTAAAGTTCAATACATTTATGATTCAAAAAGTTGATACATGTTTATATGTAGAAATAATATATTATTGTATACATTTTTGAAATAAATAGTAAGTTTATTGATAAATTTTTATAAACCATAAACACTGAACAACAGTTGACTACACATAATAGATCTGTTCCACGAGCTACTCGTAATAACTTTAAGTAACACTGTGTATACACAAGTGCGTTCCACCAGCAAATTTTCTAGTAAATGAGAGCATCTGAGAGAGCGTAACATCCCTTTCGAAATTTTATAATGTTACACAGACTTTACTCGGACATATAATTTGAAGTAAAATTTGTGTTGATGTGTGGATCAACTGTTTTGGTTGGAATTTAAATTTACTTAAATTTCGGTTGGTTGACACTGTTGTTCTTACCAGACTTTACACAAAACTATTCCATAAAAATCTGTGTAAAGAGCGAAACTTGACACTTTATTTGTGCCAATTTGTACTTTACTTGTGTTTTACTCAAATTTTACTATGAGTAGCTGGTGGAAGAGACCTAATATAACTTCTTTGAGAACAAAGTTCAAAGTTATAAAATATGTTATTTCTATATCAACTGTAAATACACAAGAATCAATTTATGGACAAACATTGCCCTTTAGCAGATTCACACCGTCTCATTTAGGCAGTTGTTCATTTCTAACAATGAGTAAACGCTTTAAATGATAATAAGCTTATTTATGCAGCTGATAGAACTTTTAAAAACTTCACTTAATAATATGACAAAAAAATAAATTAAATATATAATTCATATATTAATTCATTAATATTTTATAAATCAATTACATATTTAATAAATAATTGTTCATTTGTATCAATGAGTAAACGCTTAAATTATAATAAGCTTATTTATGCAGCTGATAAAAATTTTAAAAACTTCACTTAATAATATGACACACTAATAAATTAAATATATAATTCATATATTAAATCGTTAATATTTTATAAATCAATTACAATTTAATTAATAAAAACAAAGCTTTTATTAAATACTTACATCCTCAGTGCCTTCGTTTACAGCTCAGCTGTTGTTTGTTTATATTTTATAAATGGAACTAATGACAAACGTTTCAAATTTTGATCATTTTCTTTGTATATATTATAATTTTTGTGTGATATATTATTAAGTGAAGTTTATAAAAGTTCTATCAGCTGTATAAATATCTAAATGAGACATTGTGAATATAGTATGAATGTTCTATAATAATCCATTTATTTTTAATTAAATATAAATAACTTAACGATTGCTTTTGGAGCAAGATACGTATATTACAAAGATGTTATTTGTTATACAATAATTTTAAAAATATATATCTTATTAAATTTATATAATTTATTATTATTCACAAATTTGATATCAATTAATTTAACTATGTCAATTTTTTACAATTTTAACATTCAAATAGACTACAAGAGAGGTTATAATTTAAATAGCTATATCTTTTGCAAACATAAGGTTTCAAATTAATAAATAAAGTTTATTTATTTAATAAACTGATTGAGTTAATGGATAATTACATTATTTATTTTGTCAACTTTAGTGTTATGCTTTAAAAATTATTAACATTTATTGTTTAATAAAATAAGATATATAAATAATTTAATTTAGTATTTATAACATATGTAATGCAGTTTGTACTTGAATTTTATAAATATTTCTCCTTTTTACATTATATTTTTTTTCTTAAATTTAATTAATTAAAATTTTTTTTATTTGTTTGAATTTTGTAAATAAAGTAAGAGATGTCTTTACGTTTTCTAATTTCTGCATGTTCATAATTTAAGGTGGATATTTAGAGAGAGAAATAAGGGGAGGGAGTGAGACAAAAAAGGGAAGAGTGAGAAAGGGGGAAGACAGAGAGAGAAAGGGAGAGAGAGATAGAAAGGGAGAGAGAGAGAGAAAGGGAAAGAGAGAAAGAAAGGGAGTGAGAGAAAAAGTGAGAGAGAAAGAGGGAGAGAGAGAAAGAGGGAGAAAGAGAAAGAGGGAGAGAGAGAAAGAGGGAGAGAAAGAGGGAGAGAAAGAGGGAAAGAGAGAGAGGGAGAGATTTAATTTGTTAAAATTGACAGAGAATATAGTTTTATTTTAAAAAATATCTAATTTACTGTAGATCATTTTTTAACTTTTGTAGATTCTATATTAGGTTTTTGACTAATTACTTTATTTTTTTTTCGTCTCCTTTGTCGTTTATTTTTCTTAAATGGTGCTGATGCTGACTCTGAAGCACGTTCAGGATTACAAACTTTTGATGTAGTGTTTTCTAAAAAAGGGAAGTGATTTATGTATTGTTCCTTAGCTTCTTTACCATTTAAATCATCTCTTGTATTTTCTAAAATAGCTTTTGCAAATGGATCGTCCTCAAAGCTCCTTTTTTTAAATTCAAAAGAATTCAATAAATTTGTATCACTTACACTTTCTGGGCAATTTTCTTTTTTGGCTGTATTTGTAAACTTAAAAAAATTTTCATCCATCAATATAGGTATTCCATATTGGCTAGTTGGTAATATAATACATGAAGGTATTGGATGTGTTGAGATAGTACGATTTGCATCTAAATAAGAAGCTCTACCAAAGCCCATACCTAAAGTGCGCATCATTTGTATCATTTCATTTTCAATTTCTCGGGAATCATAGTGTTCTTTTGCTGCCACAACCTTTTCTTCATTAAGTGTTAAATCTGGAAATTCTGGTAAAATATCTGGTAACGCGGTATTTAAACTAGAGCGATGTTTAGATTTCTTTGAATACTCATCGAACAACTTAAAAATAAAAGTACGATCTTTAGATTTTTTTATATCTTGCTTTTTTCTTTCTTCATTCTCTTTCTTGTCATCATTTTCTTTATTTTTTGTCTTTTTATCCATCTGTTCCCTTTCATCCTTCTTTTCCTTATCCTTTTCTTTTTCCTCTCGAAGCTTATCTTTCGCTAGAGCAAACTCTATGTGTTCTCGTGGACGCGGTGGGAAATATTTCTCTTTTTGTAGAAAAGTATTATTTATATTATCTATTACAACTTCATCATTAAATAATGATTCCAAATCCGGTTTCCAAGCCATTTTTTTTAGAATTGTAATATATTATATTAATTTCTTCGTAATAATTTTCACTTTCATATAGTAACCGTGTCTGCTTATATATTTACCGCGCAAACTATTAATCCAAATTAGCAATTCACAATATAAGAAATATTAAAACAGGGACCTTTGAAGATCTAAGTTCAACTGACGCATTAAACCAAAAGCTCAGGAATTTATGCGTTTTTTATTATATATATTAAAAATTATATATTCCGTCTTAAAATATCAGTTTGTAATTCGAAATTTTTTACGCATGATATTACCGATTCATACCAAAGCACTCCTCACGCGAACCATTGAAATTGGACTTCAAGTAATAAATTAGGCTGAATCGTGATTGACGAACTATTTATAGAAAAGTAGTACGAAAAATAAAAAACCGCTTGAGTAAAACAAAACAAAAAAAAATAAGTAATATGTTAAAACTGTGAATAGTTGCTCTCCAGACGCGGGCTAATACAAATCACCGAATAGGTTGGCGCGCCTGTTATACAC